GCCACCATGCCCGGCTAATTTTTTCTATATATTTTTAGTTGTCCAATTAATTTCTTTCTATTTTTAGTAGAGGTGGGGTCTCGCTCTTTCTCAGGCTGGTCTCGAACTCCTGAGCTCAAACAATCCACCCGCCTCGGCCTCCTTTAACTTTTTTTTGTCATTCCTAATGTTAATTTTACAAAGTCAATATATCAATCTTTTATGGCTTCTGGACTTTGACTCACAGGTACAAAGGCCTTCCCCACTCAAGGATATAAAGGAATTCACCCACGTTTCCTTCCAGTACCTTTATGGTTTCGTTCCTTGACATGTCGATTGGTTAGGGTGGCCTTCCCTAAACCCCAGACTAAGTTTGACTCCCTTGCCCTTCTCAAGGCACTGCTCCCAATTGCAATTAATTAATTATGATTAAATTAAATGTGGATGTGTATGTCCTCTACGAAGCTGTCAGCTCCATCCATGAGGGCAAGGACTCAGGCTAATTTGGTCACTGAGTTTCAGGGATGGCAAAGAGTAAGCACTGAGTTTGTGGACTGAATACTCTCCCTTCTCCTGTCCCCCATGGCACCCCACAATGCCCCCAGGAGAGCTGGGTATCTGGAGTAAAGCAGGGAGGCACACTACCTCCTACTGGGAGGGAAAGGAGGGCTTCAGGTGGTGGGAGGTCACCTGAGTCCTGGGAAAAAAAGTGCAATCTGAATAAGACCAAAACACCCAAGTTCTCCTCCTTTCCAGGCCACTTATGTTTTTCTCCTTGCTCCACTGCTCACAGGGGACTCTTCTGCGATACCTGCTCTTTGCTGGGAAGCCACTGCCCAGCTCTCTGTTATGAATCTGAATCCCTCCTGCCCCCACATTCACCTGCTCTTGGTGCAGCCTCTGAACCTCCTCCAGCTCCCGCTTGCTCCCCTCTTCCAGGTTCTTCCGGACGACCTCAGCCCCGGCCAAGGCAGCACGCAGGCCCTCGGCCTCTGCTCGGCCAGCCTTCTCTGCCCGTGCCAGAGCCTCCAGCTCCATGGCCTGGGCCTCCAGCCTCATCTTCTGCTGCAGCGAGGTCTCCCGCAGGGCCCGGACCTCCTCTTCCAGCCGCCGCAGCTCTTGCAGCTGCCGAGAGATCAGCTCGGCCTGCTGGCTCAGGGCCTGTGACCCCTCCAGCTCCAGGGATCTTCAAAGACAGGTTGGCACAGGTGAGACTTGTCTCCAATGCCCAGGGCATAAATGGAGATGGAAGGAAAAAAGGACCCCTCTGTTCCCATGTGAGGAGGTGGGGCGATGAAGCCGGGGCATAGAGATCTCTGTATTTACATCATCATCACCACTCATCCACACCCTATGCACACTAGGTCCAGTGCCTGGGCTCACAGGACTAAAGGCTAGCTGAGATCACGGAACCTGATCTCTCTAGAGTGCTATATACAGGCAGAAGCATTAGACATCAAATGTGCACATCATCAGGCCACATATTCTAAGTGGAAAGGTTGGAAGAACACACAGAGGCATCTGAATCCTGATTTAAGGGCGAGGAGAGGTTTGAGGGAGGCATGGGCATGAGCTTCCAATATCAGTATGGCGAGGCCAGGTGCTAGTTAAAGGCATTTACTGAGGGTTAGGTATACTTTATGAGGAGTCTGAGAGAACAGTACGTCAATAAATAACATAGTGCCGACCTTTGGAGAACAGTCTACCCGTGTCATGTGAAGTTTAAACCTGTTTACAACAAGGCTGAAGAGATAGCTTTCCCTCTGAGACCCAGTACCAATCAATTTTTTTTTAAGTAGCTCGGGAAATGAAGTGACTCGCCAAGGTCCCCTTGCTGGCAGCCACACTAGAAATAGAGTCTCTAGATCCTGACACTCAGTCTAGTATTCCCCCTTTTTCATCATGCTGTTCCTCTTTGATGTAATCCTATTCCGGAGCGAAATGGCAGAATGACATTCTAGTACAACTGGGAAAAGACACACACGAAACGACAAAAATATAACTTTTTACAGACAACACATTGACAGCCAGCATGGCCAGCTCCAAGGGCACGTCCTCTGTAAAGGCTGTCTTCAAGTGCTCCATCAGAATGAACCCACACAGTACTGGGCCTCTGCTTCTAGTTTGTACGTCTTCATTTTGCCTTCTACTACACTTTATGATTGGCTGCTGGTCAATCTATCTCCTCCCTTTGGATATTAAATTCCTTATTAATAAGTTTCAAGTTGGGATTTGTCTTATTATCATCCCCATCTCTAGCACCTAGCACGCTGCCTTATTATTTATGCATCATAGGTACCAATAATTGCTTATGTAGAAATGAGTAAGTTAGGAAACTAAGGGCTGAAATAGGGTAAGGAATCTATTTCAATGAAGAAGGGTCACTAGCCAGCAAGTCTGAGAAAATGGCGATGACTGATCCCTACCTGCCTCTCCACCCTCGCTCCTGCCTATCACCGGAAACATCCCGTTCCCTCGTGGTCACTTGAGGTCTCTGGGTGTCCCGCCACCTCTCTGAGATATCTTGATGGGCTGGGGGTTGGACCAGGGGAATGTCTGAGACCCAGGAGGGAGCCATTCTTGGCAGAGTTGAAAGGGGCCGAGCTTGGAAGTGGGAGGGGGGAATCAGCCCCATGGAACCTGAGGAATCAAAAGCAAAGACCATCAGTTTCCCAGACAGTGACAATCACCAGTCCCCTTCCCTGGTCCCACTGACCTGAAGGTGGAAACATCTCGACATTTTTTGAAGGCTCTAGATTCTGTCTCCAGCCATCTATGTTCCCCTGGACAATAGGAGAAACAAGGACACTCCAATTCAATTTTCAGGCCATCTTCCTAAGAGAAAGCCCCTACAATAACAAAGTTATAATCCATAAATTACAGCCAGGTCCACCTGACTCTCAGCTCCTCTTTTCCTACTTCCTAAAAGAAGAAGGAGATTCCCCAAGATTACTAGCTTGATCCAGCCCAGCTCCTAATAGAACCCAGGCAATAACTATGAAGTAGGAAGCGTTTACTGAGAGACAGGCTGAGGGGGAGCTCTTAGGCTTTACTCATACTTTTAGGATTCTGGGCAGTACCTTTACCCTCCTCCTTAAATTTCTGTAGTCCCTGCTGCTCCTGGCTGGAGGTGAGAAAGGAGGTAGAGGGCCCGAGCCCAATCTCCAGAGTTCTCTCCATGGCTCAGCAAGCCCTGGAGGAAGCCCATCCAGACACCACCAGGCCATGACTCCTGGGTCCTTCCCTATTAAAGTGCTGGCCCAAGGGCTGGACCCAGATGAACGTGGCCACATGTGGGGTTAGATCCTGGGCAGAAAAGCCAGCTTCCTGACATCTCATCCAAATCTTTTTTGCAGCTTTCCTCTCAGTTTCTCTCTACTATCCCCTCGGCTTCCATTCCTGTTGCCCACCTCCTCTTTCTAGAGTCCTAAAGCATAGTAGGCTCTTCAAGATCTTCCTCCCACACGAATTCATCTATTTTTTTACCCAAATCTGGGATTCCTAACCCGTCTCTTCCTACATCCTAATCTGCTTTTTTTTGAAGGAATTATTTTGGACCCTCACCCTCATCTCTCAACTCAATGGCCTGCGCTCGCCTTCCTGCACTCTAGCTGGCTCTGTTTCCCCGTCTCCTCTCCCACGGAAACCCCTGGGTCTTCACCCTGCTGGACCCTGAGCTCTAAGGCTGTTCTGACCTCATCTGTCCCTTTACCCGGCCCCTGTCCCCCTCTTCCCTATGGATCCCCTGAACCCCCCAGAATCCCCCCTCTCAGCCCCTTCCCGCCCCCAACCGACTCCTGCCGAACACCTCTTACCCAGCGCGAGAGCCCCTCCGCGCTGGGACCACACCCCCACACCGCGCTCCCGGCCCGGCCTCCTCCCCGACCGCGCCTGCGCAGGGCGGGCGGGCTGGCGGGCCGCTCTAAAAGCCCTAGTTCGCCCCGAAAGGAGGAGGAGCAAAGGTGCACGCAGGCGCAGTGGCGTCTACAGCCGGGTCCAATTAATGCGACCGGGCGTCTCCGCGCCCTGGCGGCTCCTCCCCACGCCGGGAACCCGGGAAAACTTGTGAACTAATCAGAAAAAGCAGAAGGCGGGAGATTGGCGACCCTCCCAGCGCGCTGCCCAATGGCGCGGAGGAGAACAAAGGAGCTGGCCAATCAGGAACGGGACGGGGGCGGGCTCGCTCGGCGCGAAGTTCGGACCCGGGAATTCCGAAGGAGGGGTCGGCGCTGCCCGCGCGCCGAGGCCGCGCCCCTCCTGGCCCCGGCCTCTCGGCTGTCAAACAGCTGCGGGAGCGCCGGCTCCGGCGGAGGAGCTCGAGAGGTCCCGGGGCCGCCGCACGGCCCGGCACCGCCGGAAGAAGAGACCACTCGGAGACTGCACCGCACGGGTAGATCCGAAACTGGCCTGGGGCTGGGAGGGAAAAGACCGGATCTGCCTTCCATGATCGCGGGGGGCTCCTTCCTCTGTTTTTATCCCACCCTGAGAGGCCGGGAAGCAGGGGTTTAGATCCGCTCTGTTGGAGTACATAAGGACTCGTTTGTACTGCCTTTTGGAGGATGACAGTGGATTCATTTCCCTTGGGGGTTTAAACTAACTAGTTATGAGTGAAGGATTGGCCAGAAGAGGGGGCGCGGGCGAGCAGGAGGGGTGCATTATTTGGGTAAGCAAGTTTGACAGGAAGAAGCTGCTCTTCTCCAAATTACACAGAGGTTATACATTCTTACTGTACTTTATATGTTTGTATAACAGGACCCCCCCCCATACACACACACCTCCAATATTTATTTCCCCAGAAACTGCTTAATGTGTCGTTGTCTCGCACAGATCGGAAGTTTCCCGAACATTTTGCTGCCTGAGGATCCAGTTCTGCTGAGATGCTATAGGACGTGTTCCTGTTTTTGCGTTGCATCAAGACCTTCCTGGAATTTTTCAGTTGCAAGTCTGCTTAACAACCAATTTCGCATTGAGCGCCTATGCTGCTTGCGCTCTGAATTTGCACTACTCAGGTAGTGTGGTCAAAATTGAAATTGCACACAGCACAGCTCAAGTTAGCATGAGACTGGAAAGAGAACATAAGCCAATGGTGCATGGCCCAAAAGTAGGAAAGGTGATAGATGCCTGAAGTGGAAGAGGTGGTGCAGAAGGGGCACCGCCCATGCTGCCCTGCTTCCAGCTGCTGCGAATAGGGGGCGGCAGAGGCGGTGATCTCTACACCTTCCACCCCCCCACTGGCACTGGCTGCACCTATCGCTTGGGCCACAGGGCTGACCTGTGTGATGTGGCCCTGCGGCCCCAGCAGGAGCCTGGCTTCATCTCTGGGGTCCACGCCGAGCTGCATGCTGAGCCCCGGGGTGATGACTGGAGGGTCAGCCTGGAGGACCACAGCAGCCAAGGTGAGCAGTGAGCAGCGCAGCTTTGCCCCTGGGCAGTCAAAAGTTCCTGGCTGGAATGAGTAAGGGGCTCCACAAGGACCTCGCCACCTGCTTCCTAAACTCCCCATAAGGTTGGATGGAAGGTCATGGTCCAGAACTCCGTCTTTCCACCAGAAGGGTACAGTGTCAAAAGCTCTCTGCAGGACTGATCCTTATTGGTCCTGTTTAGCTCCTACAGGGCCTGGGGCATCATCAGAGAAGTGTCACAGTGGGGATGTTCTGGAGTCATTGGGGGCCAAGTTCAGACTTGATTCAGTTTCCAGCTTTGCTGAGGTACTCTGTTCCTGGGTTAGGGCAGTTATATGTTGAATTATGTTTTAATGATCTGGGCATGTCTTTCTCCCTGACTTGGGGTAGTTAGCCTCTGAAGGCCTGGATTCACATTTGAGTTCTGCCACTGGCCCCTGGCAAAGCCTCTTGGTAGAGTCAGCTTTGGGGTGTGTGATTTGCTACTATAGTAGCCAACATTCGTTTAGTGCTTACTGTTATAAGCCAGGCACTGTTTTAAGTGCATTGAATGTAGGTGGCACTAATATCATCCTCATTTTACAGTCAGGGAAAATGAGGCACAAACAGGATGAGAAATTTGTCCAGGATCACGTAGCTGGTAAGGTTGTAGAGCTAGGGTTTGAACCATTCTGAACTGTTCTGAGTTGGAGTTGGGCAAGAGTGTGCATGACTGAGGATTGGACCTCAGGAGAGTGAGGGAGGTGTCCTTTTTAGGAAAAATAAACTTGTTCCCAGTGGGCAATAAGCTTATTACCTGGTATCTATTACCTACCGAGGGGCTTAAAATGTGAGGGAGAATTTGATGAAGATGTCATGTTCTTCCCCATGTTCCCTAGGAATCAAACAAAGTCAGATTTCTCCACTCCTGACTCTGGACATTTCTGTTTTTGTCCTTTTCTGTATCTGGTGCCCCACCATCAACAGGGACTTTGGTCAACAATGTCCGACTCCCAAGAGGTCACAGGCTGGAGTTGAGCGATGGGGATCTCCTGACCTTTGGCCCTGAAGAGCCCCCAGGAACCAGCCCCTCGGAGTTCTACTTCATGTTCCAGCAAGTCCGAGTCAAACCTCAAGAATTTGCTGCCATTACCATCCCACGGTCTAGGGGAGAAGCTGGGGCCGGTTTCCGGCCCATGCTGCCCTCCCAGGGGGCTCCACAGCGGCCTCTCAGCACCCTCTCCCCTGCCCCCAAGGCCACACTGATCCTCAACTCCATCGGCAGCCTCAGCAAGCTCCAGCCCCAGCCCCTCACCTTCTCCCGGAGTGGGGGTGGGCCAAAGAGCCTGTCTGTTCCCACCACCCCACCTGGGGAAGTGGGGACCACCCCTTCTGCCCCTCCCCCACGAAATCGGAGGAAATCTGTTCACCGAGTGTTGGCAGAACTGGATGATGAGACTGAGGCTCCCAGGAGCCCCCCACCAGTCCTTATGGAGCCCAGGAAGAAACTCCGTGTAGAGAAAGCCCCACTGACACCCAGTGGGTAAGTGGAGAGCCCTCACTTGTCTCCCTTCTCTCAGTATCTCACTGCCCTTTGATTCCTTTTATTTCCCCAGGCTGGGAGGAGGACCCTCTGCTTGAGGTTTGGGTGTGGGAGGTAGTCAGAGGCAGAATAGATGCTAGAGTGACAAGACTTGGGTTAGCTCTGACATACAGATGGGAGGAAATGAGTTAGGTGGGGCGGGGGGGGGCAGGTCAGCAGACACAGGTTCCTACCTTTTACATTCCTATGGCTTTAACCCCAGTCTTCTAGTGCCTCAGGATGGGGAACTTGCAGGCTCACAGTGACTAGTTTCGCACCCAAAGGGAGAATCATACCCCTAGACCAAGGAGCCAATCGAGGACTAGTTCCTAGGCCCACCCTACATGTTTTTAAGGACAGATTCCAGGCTTGCATTAGTCCAGTGAGTCGATCTAGGTTCCTCCTATGGTTATCCAGGGGAAAGGTCTAGGCCTTCTTCTACAGGTTCCCAGTGACCCTGATGCTTGTGTCACTTCTTTCAGAAGTCGACGTGGCCGTCCTCGGAAGCACCCAGTGAGCGCCCCCATGGCTCCTCCTGCAAGTGGGGGCGGGGAGCCCTGCGCAGCTCCTTGTTGCTGCCTGCCCCAAGAAGAGACAGTGGCCTGGGTTCAGTGTGATGGTTGTGACGTCTGGTTCCATGTGGCCTGTGTTGGCTGCAGCATCCAGGCTGCCAGGGAGGCTGACTTCCGGTGTCCAGGGTGCCGTACAGGCATCCAGACCTAAGGTCTAGCACCAAGGCACCAGAGGACACAGCTCCATTCTGCGGGGGGACAGTGGAGTGCAAATGGTCCTAACACTCCCCCTTCTTCCCATCCCTCTCCAGGAAGGAATGACTACAGGGAATAAGGGTGGATTGCTTTGGATACTGATTGCTGTGGATACATGGCCAAGGTGACAGAAGATGGTTTCTTGCCAAAGATATTGTTGCCTCCAAGAAGTTGCCAGTGAGCTGCAAATGCCCACTGTTACGAGCTGTAAGGCCTTGTTGCCATGGACACAATATCTGTGGTCAGAGCACGCATCAGCTGCAGAAGCCACACCTGCAACCGACGTAAGAGGGAGTTCTTAATGTGCTTGAATGGCATTGCCTAAGGCCTTCTGGGAAAACCTAGGGCCCAGACCTAAAACAGCTTTGCACTGTGGCTAGTCCTCCGCTGACCAGATCATAGTGACCTGCTTTTCAGAGCCTTGCTTCTATTTCCAAGTAAAGAACAAGCAGCTTCATTCACTCCTGAATATTTACTCTTCTTGTGGGTCTGATATTCCTTGCTTCCCAGTTCTTGGGAGAATGGCATTTGGCAAAGTGTAGAGAACTAATTCAGAATCTTTGGGGACGTCCTTTGTTCCTTCTCTCCTCCCACTGCCTCACTTGACCAGACCAAAAAAAAAAAGAATCTTTGGGGAAGGGGAGGAGAGATGAGTAGAGAAATACAAACCTGCTCACTGGAAAAGCATAAATATATGGGATGAGCTGGAGGTAAGAGGCAGTAAAAAATAAATAAGATTTCTAGTTTAAGGAAGAGAGATCCACCGCCATTAACATAAAGTAACTGGGATTTGGTCAAGTTCACAGGGATTTTACAACTTTTAGGGGCTTCACCAGTACCACCAGGGAAAAAGAAAAACCTTGTCAACTATCTCCAACAGATGCTGGCCTGGTCCATGTATGACTCAGGTACGGTACATGTGATTTTCCGTGAGCCTTATGCCAAGCCGATATTGTCAAAGCACCATCATCTCTATAGTTCTTACTTGGAAAGCCTTATCTTGACCTGTTCTATACCCTCCTACCTTGATTTACCAAACCAAGTTTTTTCCACATCAAGGAAACAGCTCCCGCAAGCAAAGGCCCCTAATGAGCTAGTGACAGAAACAGGAATAAAACCTGCGTATCTGGTG